CTGGAATCCCCCGATTAATCGATTCCCAGACTTTCGAGAGAGCTTTAGGAAGAGAGCTTGGCAGAATGGTTTAGTCATCCTCGCATTACATGATATTACGGGACATTATAGCTCGCGCACGTGATGAGTTGCGAGAATGGGACAACGACGACGACGACGCTAGGTCGGTCGTCGATGTGTTGTATGAATCATATCTTATATGATACCGAGTACGCATTCGCGGCTTCCAGGAACACGGCCGTGTAAATACACCCACCACCCGCGGCAGCAAATATGTTCCACGCATTAGAATCCCCCTTTTTCATTGAATAGACACCTACGCCTTTGACCTTCATTACATGTATATCCATACATATATACATTGCACCTTGGTCAACAATTTACAGTCTAATGCTCTTGGAAAAATTATATACGTATATACTCGAACGAGAAATTCCAATGTGGACCCGAAAACAATATAAGTTTCGCGCGAATCGTGGGTATTCCAAGCAAAAATATACTCGCACTTTCTATCATTGATTTCGATTATATATATTTAACGGTGAGATGGAAATTCGTCATTTTATCAATGCTCTGAATCATTTTCAGTGCGTGATTTTTGCAAATTTAGTTGATACATAAATGTTCATTCAAAATTCGGTAAGAAAGCTTACGGAGAACAAGGATTGTTACGTTGACAAAAAGATTGTTAATATAGAACTAACAAATTTATTTTCTTGTCCTAACAATTCAAATTTTTTCTAATAGCAATAAATCTGTTGAGGTAACAAAAAATTTTGTAACAACAACAAACAAAATTTGTTAGTTCTACAGTAACAATTCTTCTTTCTCTGTGCTGATGATGATCTTGACATCCATAGAAAGCTAGCCATGTAAGCTTACTGCAATATTGGGGTAACATTGCCGCAAGCTTACGTAATGTTTACAACAAGCAACATGCCAGCAATTTTTAGCGGCTAAAAATTATTAGAACTAAAAAAATTTGAATTAAAACGTCTTTTTCCCAATTTTGATTGTCTGATAGCGTACGGGTGCGGCTGCTACTGCCTAAGAGATAGAACAAATTATTCTATCCTTCAGGATCTTGTTGAGAAACATTTCAACAACAATTTATGTAAATTTCAATCTATAAAAATTGCTGGAATTAAAAAAAATTTGAATTGAAACGTCTTTTCCCCCAAATTTGGATCTTCTGCTAACGTACGGTTGTGAATACTTAAAAGGTACTACTTCAAAGGTCCAATAAAATTTTCTATCCTGCAGCATGTTGTTAAGCAACATCCCAACAACAATCTAGGTTGTTAACAATCCATAAAAAATAATAAAATTGAAAAGAATTTAATTTAAACGTCTTTTTATAACAATTATGATCTTCTGCTAGTGTTTGCTGTGTCTGCTGCTACTTAAAAATTACAATAAAATTTTCTATCCTCCAGAATATTGTTATAAAAATTACTAGAATTAATAATATTTGAATTTAAACGTCTTTGGCCCCAAATTTTCATCTTCTGCTAGTGTTCGGCTGTGGCTGCTACTACTTAAAAGGTACAATAAAATTTTCTATCCTTCAGAATGTTGTTCAGAAACATCCCAGCAACAATCTAGATTGTTAACAATCTATAAAAAATAATAAAATTGAAAAGAATTTAATTTAAATGTCTTTTTATAACAATTATGATCTTTTGCTAGTGTTCGGCTGTGGCAGCTGCTACTTAAAAATTACAATAAAATTTTCTATCCTTCAGGATGTTGTTAAACAACATCCCAGCAACAATTAAGGTTGTTAATAATCCATATAAAATAATAAAATTGAAAAGAATTTAATGTAAACGTCTTTATATGACAATTATGATCTTCTGCTAGTGTTCGGCTGTGGCTGCTACTACTTAAAAGCGCTTAAAAGTTACAATAAAATTTTCTATCCTTTAGGATGTTGTTTCCCAATATCCCAGCAACAATCTAGGTTGTTAACAATCCATAAAAAATAATAAAATTGAAGAAAATTTAATTTAAACGTCTTTTTATAACAATTATAATCTTCTGCTAGCGATTGGCTGTGTCTGCTGCTACTTAAAAATTACAATAAAATTTTCTATCCTTCAGGGTGTTGTTCAGCACATTTCATCAATAATTTAGGTAAATTTCAGTCTATAAAAGTTACTAGAATTAAAAATATTGGAATTTAAACGTCTTTTTATAACAATTATAATCTTCTGCTAGCGTTTGGCTGTGTCTGCTGCTACTTAAAAATTACAATAAAATTTTCTACACGGAGAGACCCACATTCGTAAAAATTACTAAAAACGGTTGCAATGACCGGAAATAAGGGGACTTTTAGCATAATGTACTACAGAATTAGATAAATTTACAAAAGAAATAGATAAATTTGCTACATTGAAATAGCAAGTTTTAATATTTTGTGTAAGAGTTGTAAATGTAGCGAAAATTGATTATAGTTTTCTCTAATTTAATTAGACAAAATCTGACAAATGAAAACATTTTCCACTAAAATCTTCTATCCACTGTAGTAATTTTTGGTGAGCAAGTGTGGCTAGCGAGTGCAGTCATATGGCGCCTGTATTTCTATTGGTTGCTAACCTCGTCAATCTCCGTAAATGAGCCGATGCCTTCCGATCATTGACAGTGACTATGTTTCGCGTATGTAAAATAAATTTGGATATTATCTACAATAATTAAATATAAAGTGAAACGTAGGTCGTTCGGTATCTCAGAAATTGACCATTATAAATTAATAAATTTTGCATTTATTCCTGTCCCAAGAAGTATGTCTTATAATAAGTTGTTAAAAGTAAACTGCTTTCTCGTAAGTGCTGTAAATTTTCATCATTCAATATATAAGGAAACAAAGATGTATACTTTCAGTGAAATTCGTTGTCGTGCGTGCAGTTGTGTATTAGTGTATTAATTAACCGCGTCTATACATATAAGTGAAATAAACATGTGTGTGTCTTCAAATATTTATCCAACAACAAATATATAAGTGTGTGAGTGTGTGTGTCTGTGTATGTAAAAATCCTTCCAGTTTACCTCCACTAGTCAAGAATTGACGGGAAACCGGCGACAAAAATCCGTATTTTTTCTTTTCACTCTTTCTTTCTGCATTTACAACGACTATAGTAATTTTACGTACACAATGTTTCTGAGTTTTACTACAGTTGTTTGGAACTATTGGACGAAATAGTAAGAAACTTTGCTAATTTGGTGAACATTTGTCGGGATTAGTGACTTAGTGTAGAAAATAGTAAAAAATACAAAAAGTCCCCTTATTTCCGGTGGTTGCAATGTGAATATAGTAAATTCTAGTGTGATTTTATACAAAAATTAGTAATCTCGGTCTCTCCGTGTATCCTTTAGGGTGTTGTTCAGCACATTTCATCAATAATTTAGGTAAATTTCAGTCTATAAAAGTTACTAGAATTAAAAATATTGGAATTTAAACGTCTTTTTATAACAATTATAATCTTCTGCTAGCGTTTGGCTGTGGCTGCTACTACTTAAAATTACAATAAAATTTTCTATCCTTTAGGATTTTGTTCAGCAACAATCGTAGCAACAATTTATGTGATTATCAACTCATAAAAAATTATTAGAATTAAAAAAATTAATTTAAACGTCCTTTTTCCCAAATCTTGAACTGCTGCTGACATTCGGCTGTGGCTATTACTAATTAAAAGTTACAATAAATTATTCTATCCTTCAGGATCTTGTTCAGCAATATTTCAATAACAATTTATGTAAATTTCGGTCCATAAAAATTTCTGGAATTAAAAAATTTGAATTTAAACGTCTTTTTCTCCAAATTTTGATCTTCTGCTAACGTTCGGCTGTGGCTACTACTACTACTTAAAACTAGTTTTTTCTTTACTTTATGCCATATTTTCCCTTTTTTAAAATAATTTTGGTCTTGTAATAATATTAATAATAATAATTGACAAATCAAGATCATGCAAATTTTTTTCTATGAGAGAATAAAAGTTTCGTTATAATTTTTAATTCATTAAGATTAAAAGTACTTTGCTAAATAATAAATGTTTTGGTACGATTAACTAATTGTTTTTAATTACTTTTATAAAATTAAATAATGCAAATAAATTGAGAACATTTAATTAATATGTTAATTTAAAATGTTTGACTTTTATAGAATCTTGAATTAAATTTTAACTCCCTGGTAATATTTTTGCAGGGCATAATCCTATAAAGAGTTAATTTGCATTTACGTACAGGGTGTTAATTCCTCTTAATGTTAACACATAGGGAATAAAATTTTAAACCCAAAATTTTTGCGACTTCTATTTTAGAATTCTGTTTGTAGTTAAAATAGCTTCATAACTTTTTCAACTTCTCGTCTCGTCGATACATTTTTATCTCCTTAAAAATAATATTTGTCTTGACAATACCAGCTTTTTCTGCCTCAAACGTCATTTATTATCTCATCAGAAGAACGTTATCGTTCTCAATTTTATAAATATTTAAAAAAAAATGCACTTAAAATTTATTGATAGTAGAAAAAAAGACGTTGTCTACTTGAACTATGTATGTTGTCTATTTGTACAATTTTACTTGTACAACTTGGATTTTTTTTCTATACGATATAATTAGAAAATAAGGCATAAGTGCGATTGAAATTTTTAATTTGAAAAGAAAATATGAAAGGGATAATATGCAGACAATAATGGGGATCCTACCTCTTCTTTTTCCTGTTTAAAGGTTATTAAGTACCTGCCGCCAAAGAAGGTCCTTAAATTTTTTCTTCATTTTTATAACCTTGTCCGAGTAAAGCAAGAAGTTTAAAGCAAGAAAAGTAACTTGTACTTTTTAATTGCAAACCGAAAGATTATTCTGGTAGCTTTTTCTTATTTTTTTATTTCGGAAATAGGATATTAAAAAAATGTTTTTCGACATATTAACTGGAAATTTATTTTTTTTATTGTTCAATTTAGATATGTTGACAAATAGTTATTTTGTGTCAATTTTTTTTGTACTGTAGTTATTTACAACTATTTTTGTATAATTATTTACTACTATTGTATAATTAATTACTACTATTATTGTATAATTGTTTAATACTGTTATTTATTATTTATTGATTCTTATTTTATTATTAACTTTTATTTGTTAAACTATTCAGCTGGAGGCTCACTTTCATCTTCATTCTCATTTTCATCTTCATTGTCTACTTCATTTTCTTCTTCATTTGCTTCCTCATTTTCGTCTTCAATTTCAGCTTCATTTTCCGTCTCATTTTCAGCTTCATTATCAGCATCATTTTCGTCCTGATTTTCATTCTCATTTTCAGGTTCATTTTCCACCAACTCATTTTCAATGGCTTCAAGTTTTTCCTGAAATTGTTTTCCCAACATCTCGAGACCCTCACCATTCGCCTTTCTATAACCTGGGGCTGAAGTTTTCATTTTCTCTAACCACCTTGAAACATTTTCATATTTGCTGACGTCAAAACCAAACACCTAAATTGTTTAAAAAAAAGAGGAGAAAAAAAAATTATGAGTGTTGCAAGAATATTAAAAAGTTGAAAATTTATGACTGAATCATGTTGCACAATCATGTGATGGGTAACATTTACTCATAACATTGCAATTGAATTTCAATTATTTATTTTCATTTTTCACACTTGTCAATTTAGTGTCAAATCGTTTTATTAGTTCTGAGTGTGATTTTTTTGGAAGAGAAAAAAAATTTTAAATGAAAATGTTTAGAGGAATATTTTTTTCTATAACAATTAATATACCTCACTTGTTGTCACTGTCGCTGTTATTGACAAATCTGCAATTGTCAAATTTTTCCCAGCTACGTAATCTTGGCCTTCTAGATATTTATCTAACATTTCATAAACTTCCTCAACTCTTGGATATTTTGTTGAATCGAATTCTTTTCGTCCATAGAATGCGACAGGATACTAAAGAGAAAAGTTTTTTTTTTATAAATATAATTTTATTTTACACTGAAAAAAATATATTTGATTCAAATAACCGATAACTAGTCTATTTTCAAATTAATATTTACTTCAATCAAATAATTTTCACTTTTATGTAAATTGAGTAAATTGTAGTTAAAACAATTAATTTTTAATTTAAGTCAAATAAATTATATTTCAATCAATAATTTCAGTATTTGATGCAAATGCATTTTATTTTTTTTATTTTAATATAGAAATTATTTCATACAAATAAATTATTTGACAATAGACACGTAAATAATAAAATTAATAATTCGAATTGACTAATTACTAATTACTAATCACTAGATGCTAATTACTAATAACTAATATTTTTTTAATATAAAAAATATACACATGAATTTTTATTTAAATTAGAATATAATAAAAAAATAAAATAGAAATTTTCAAACTTTTCTTACATAATAAGCAGCGATTGCTTTATAAAGTGTTCCAATATCGAAATATAAACGATGATCGACCAATGCTCGACTGCCCGGATTTTTTGGATATAATCTTTCATTTTGATCGTACTGATCAGCCAGATAAGCTAAAATTGCTCGGCTATAATTATTTACATAATTTTTATTAATATTTTAAATTCGAAATTTTTTTATTTTATGTTTCGACTTATTCTTTATTTATTTGAACTTTTTTTTTATGGATATAGAAAATTGCACATCAACCGAAAGATTATAATATAAAATAAACTCGCATAGGCCGGATCTGACAGATGCCAGTGAGATAAGTAGAAAATTTAGTTGATTACCGGATCTTCACTGTATTAAGTGAACTCATCATCGTCCCTTATTAATTCGATTAAGGGCTTTCAAACCATAAAACATTTATGTTGTCTAAGTAAATAATAATTATAGACATACTCTTCTCGATTTGTTTATGAAAACATTTATTTTTCGTTATTATTAAGTGCAAGAAATATATTCTATTTATTTTTTATTCACTTTTTTAATATAGAAAATTCATTTTTTATTCAATATTTTTTATTAATTTTTTTTAATATTAAATTGTTTTAAATTTTTTATTTCGTAATTATATATTATTGAAATAATTATTTAATTTCATTTTTTATTTGTTTATTTATTCAATATAGTTCAATATTAATTCAAAATAGTCTTTTGCCCATATTCGTACAAAATTCTTTAAAGATACAACAATTATATTTTTATTTTATTTATTATTTTTTTTATACTAAATAAAAATTATAAAAAATACCAAAATTTTAATTCAATAGTTTATTTTGTTTATTCACTATAATCAAAATAATAATAATATCTGCCGGAACAGATTTTGTAAATAAATAAATAAATATCGTTTAGCATTTGTCTCATTTATGTTTATAATTTTTTTTTTTTATTTTTGAAGTTAACGTTTTTTTTATACCTAATTAATGATAAAAATTCAGGGTGTCTACTAACCGGGAAATAGCCGGGAATTTAATTTGACCGGGAAAAACCGGGAATAAGCCAGCAATTTTTTTACTAAATTAAAAAAGTTTTATTATTTTAATTTGTATTTAAAAAATCGCTTTTTATTTCAATTTTTATAGATATTTATACTGTTCTCTAAATTTGAATTGGTTAAAAATAATTAATTTGATAGTAAAAAATCAGCCACTGATTCAAATATAGTATGTAAATCAATTGAAAAAAACAATGGAATTAATAGAAATTTTTGTATTCATGTATTCATGTTTCTTAGTGTGAAGATTAATAATTAAAATTTTTATTAGTTAAAAAAAGAATTAAAATTAATTAAAAAGATCCATACTTAAATTTTTTTTAATAAAATTGAATTTTCGCAAAGTTTTTTTAAAAATTCTGAAAAATTAGATTTTTGAAATTATTCAATTCTATTGTTTTAAGATAATTGAATTTTTATAAACAAACAATTGAAAATTTTTGAAATAATTGAAATTTCTTTACATTCTATTAAAAATAATTAAATTATTTTAAAGAATTTTATTTAAATTTTTCGAAAATAATCAAGGGAAGTTAGTCACCGTAATTATAATTTTTTTTTTAAATTTCTTCGCAATATATTCAATAATTATTGTCATAAATAGTAAAACTCAGTGCAGAGTTTCCATTATTTTTAATAAGTACAATTTTAATCAAATTCCTCAAAAAATGTAATTATTTTTAAAAATTGTATTAAAATTCGTCGAAAGAATTCAATTATTTCTAGAAACTGTAAAAAAAATCTTCTTAAGAATCCAATTATTTCCATAAATAGCAAAATTCTTTAGATTTACTAAATTCTTTTGAATATTATTTAAAAAAAAAATTGTTCACAAGAATTCAATTATTTTCATAAATTTTCATAAAATTCTAAAAAACAATTCGATTATTTTCAAAAGTAATAAAATTCTTCGCAAAAATTCAATTATGTTTAAAGTTTTTTTTAAATTCTCCTCAAAATTTCAATTATTTTTATAAATAATTAAATTGTTCTCCACAAATTCAATTATTTTCAAAAATTTTAATAAAATTCTACGCAAACTAATAACATTCTTTTGAAGGATTCAATTACTTTTATAAATAGTAAAATTCTTTGAAAAAGAATTTTCCAAATTTGTATTAATTAAAATTAATAAAAAAAACATTATTTTCGAAAAATTTAAAGAAACTCGTCCAAAGAATTTAATTATTCATAAAAACTCTAATAATAATTTTTGAAGCCATTTTGTAGATTTATTTATGTTCAGAATCAAATAAATTTATATTGATGAGAAAGAAAACCGGGAAAAATTAGAACAAAGCTGGGCGAAACCGGGAATTTTGTTGAACGACAATAGTAGACACCTTGAAAAATAATTTAAACAAAATTATTATTAGTTATTATTTTTAATTTATTATTATTATTATTTATTTAAATATTTATGTAACAAGAAGAAAGAAGATTACTTGAAATTTTGCCTTTTCTATTTTTATAAAAGGAAATTTTTCCTTATTTTCAAATTGTTTTCATAAAAATATTAAAATAATTTCTTGTCATAATGAATACAGTTTAGAAATAGTTTGTTTATGCAAAAAGAGAATAATATTGAATAATATTAAATAATATTAATAATGAACAGAGTTGCCATCTAGGTTTTGCTTTAACACGTGAAAGGAAAGTTCAACTGCTGATAAAATAGAATTTTTTCTCTTCAATCAATTTTGTTTATTAAAAATTTATCGTTTTCATGCGAAACCGGTTTTACCTTTCACCGAGTTTATAATCGCCATCCACCAAAGTTGGAATCAATTTTTGAGGATTCATCTGAATTTAAAAATAAATAATAAATTTTTGAAAAATGAGTGTAAATTAAATATTAAAATTATAAATTAAAATTTTTTAAATTATTAATTATTCTTTTAATATTAATTATTTATTTACTAATAAAGAAAAATTTTCAATTATTTATTAGTAATAAAAAATTGAGAAAAAAATTTGCGACTAATTTTTCCATTTTAATAAAATAGTTCAAATTCTTCTCTGGAAAAATTAGTGAAAATTCAGTCGACGAATTTTTTACTGTAATTTAGATTTGAACATAAACAAATAAAAAAAATTAGACTAACATAATAGGTAAACAATGTAATTGAATTATTGTAAATTATAAATAATCTACGATAATAATTTATTTAAAATATAATCTATAATTAATTATAAATTATAAATAATTTACCTCTTCGTATTCAGGTGTTTGATGTTCACCATTTTCTAAGTCGACTGTAATGAAATTCACTTCAATACCAATAGCCTCAGCTGTTAATAAAATTGCTCGACATGATGAGCATGTATACAATCCATACAAGTCAACTGACATTTTTTACTTTCTTCTTTCTTTTTGTTACGTAACAAAAAAAAAAAATAATTCACTGAATTAAGGAATTTAGAAAAAAAATAATTTCCCTGTAATTAATAATTTTTTTTACCATTAATTAGAAAGAAATTTTACCGATTTTTTTTTCAAATAATTGTAATATATTTTTTAACAAAATTTACATATTTGAAAAAATAATCATTTTTAGGGAAAAGTGTCGCGTGTTTGATATCAATCCATAAACTGAGCATAGATTTTCTTTTAAGCTCGTAACTTCTTGTTATATGTCGCTGTCTATAGAGTAAAATTACAATATACGTCATTTTTGCATTAATAATCAAAAGAGAAGGAAATTATTTGAGCGGATCTATAATATAGTTTATCAAAATTTTCAAATTAAAATTTTTAAAATTTTTTATTATTTATTACAATTATTAATATTTTTTTATTATTATGGTTTTTTATTATGTTAGTTCTTTTTTACTATTCGAAAGTTTCGAATTTTAAATAAATGATTATTGTATTGTACTTTTATATTATTATTATTATTATTATTATTATTATTATTATTATTATTATTATTATTATTATTATTATTATTATTATTATTATTATTATTATTATTATATTATTATTGTATTTTACTTTCAATAAAATTTGAATTTTATTAAAAAATTTGACGTGCTACGAAAAATAGTATAAAAGAAGCAAATTTAGCTACTATTTTAAAAAAAATTACTAAAGACATTTATTTCTTTAAAAAAAAGTCACTAATGGTAGGAATCAACTTTTTTCTAATTATAATTATTATAAATTTGAAATTTATATTATAATCATTATAAATAAATTATAATTATTATAATTAATTAGAATTTCAGAATTTATTTTGAAAATATTTAAACAGAAAAACAAATTTCCTTTTCTTCAACATTTAAAAAAGTTTGAGGGAAAATGATTTTTTTGCTTATTTAGAAAATAAAAGTACCGAATGAAAATTATTTGAAACAAATTTTATTTGTCTTTTTAAATCACAATTCAACAACAGTCTTTATATATAATATAATTTAATGTACAGATGGATAAACTAATTGTAATGGACAGTAAAAAAGAAAATATTCAAACTTATAGTATTGAATACATTAATTTTTGTATAATAAATGTTTTTGTGCAAATTATTATTTTCTTTTATGAAATACTGGTAAAATAGATTTTATGAGTCAAGAAATAATGGGCGAATGAATTTATTTCTTCATAGCATCGACAAGAACTTTGAAAGCTTTTGCACCTTCTCCATTTGTTCCCTCGTAATCGGTAGCTTCTTTCTTTATTTTTGAGTACCATTTCGAGACATTTTTGAAACTGCTAAGGTCGTAGTCCATAACCTGTTGAAATTAATGCAATAATTATTATTAGTCGCATTATTATAAATTTTAATTGGAGCATTCGTTATTTAAAATTATAATAATTAATATAATCATTTAATTTGAATATTTATTACCAATTAATTAATAATTTAGATGTAGAAATAACTTAGGGAATGTAATTGATAAATTATTAATTCATTTTTCATTATGATAATCATTATTTAATTTGTATATTCGTTACGAATTAATTAATTATGTAGATTATCATAATTATTTAATTTCTATGTTAATTACAAATTAATTAATTATATAGATAAAGAAATAGTTTTATGAGTGCTAGTTAAATAATTGGTTCATTAAGATAATCATTATTTATAATTTCTAAATAATAATTATTACAATTATTATCATAATAAATGTGTTTTGATGGTATAATTATAATAATAATTGTAATATAATAATTATAAATATTATTTTTTAAATAATTCATTACTAATTAATTAATTATGTAGATATGGAAATAATTTTGTGAATAATTGATAAATTACTGGTTCATTGACAGCAGGATTTTCTAATTAAATTAAATTAGTAAATTAGTAAATAAATAACTAAAATTAGTAAATTATAGTTAAATTTTTATTAATTTTTGTTTCAGAAAATTTTTTTCATTAATCTATTCGGTATATGAAACTAATTTCCCATGGCTGATTAATTGTAATAATAAATTTATTAATAAATAATTATAATTATAAATTATTAATCTTGTCAATTACCTCAAAGTTTGAAACTGTAGCAACAAGGGCAAGATCGGCAATTGTCAAATTTTTTCCAGCTACATAATTTTCACCTTCGAGGAATTTGTCCAAAAATCCTAAAGCTGTTGCGATTTTCTTGTAATTTTCCTCATCTTTGGGAGCATTGGCGAAAATAATTGGATACTAAAAGAAACAAATTATATTATTCATTCAAAATATATTTCATCATTATTAGTGAAATTTTTGTTTTTCAAACTTGAGAAAATTTTTTTCTACAAATAACTTACGTAATATGCTGAAAATGCTTGATAAAGTGTTCCCAAATCGAAGTATAATCTTTGATTAACGACAGCACGTTTCTTGGCGTCTTTGGGATAAAGTGAATCATTTTTTCCATATTGATCAGCCAAATATGTGATAATGGCGCGACTAAAAATTTATAGAAAGAAAAAAAATATCTTATAATTTTTCTTTTATTTTCCTCTTTCTGGTTATTTAAATACTTATTAAATTTTAATTGTTAATTTCAATTGTTCGCAAAAATAGTTGCATTCTAAATTTTTAAAGTTTTTTTTTTATAATTTTATATGACTTTTTTGGGGTTAATGTTTAATTACTAATTAAATTTTGATTGTTCCATACAATAATCGATGTATTGAAATTTATTTTTAAATAATGTAATTAAATCATATTATTTTAAAACAGTTAAATTTTTTATTCGGAATTTTTTTTTTTTATTCGAAAATTAAAATGTAGACAAATATGAGAGGAATTATGTTTTTATGGAGAAAAAAATGTAATTATTGTTTCTTACCTTTCCCACAAGTAGAAACCGTTATCATCCATTGTTGGAATAGTGTGTTGAGGGTTCATCTGTTACATTAAGAAAATTATCATTATTAAGCTATTGTGACAATTACGATTTCTATGAAAATTGCGAGAATTGTGTCAATGACGCAGAAAAAGTAAGATTTTCTAAGTGAAAATAATGATAATAATAATAATAATAAAAAATTATACATATACAAAAATAATAATAAAAATAAAAATTATATACAAAAATAATAAAAGAACAATAATAACAATAAGAATAATAATTTCTTAATTTTACTTAGAAGATTGATAACTTTTTTAAATACTATTAATATGAATAATAAAATAAAATAATAATAATAATCATAATTATTAATACCTAATAATAATTAATAATAATTTTTATTTATTAAATATTATTAAATTATTTAATTTCTAATTATTAATTAGTAAATTATATTTATAATTATATCTTATTTAATTTTGTTATTATTAATCTTTATTTTTATTATTTTTAACTCTATTATTTTCCATAGTAGGTAGAAAATTGCAATGAAAGTTGAAAGCTTTTTTTTTAATTTTTTTTTACCTTAAGATATTCAGGTTTTAAATGTTCCCCCTTCATTAAATCGCAAGCTTTTAAATTTAGCTTAACTCCTAGAGCTGCAGCAACCAATCGAACTGCACGGCATGGCGAACTGCCGGGTAATTGATATAAGTCAACTGCCATTTTGATATTCTGAAATTTAAAAAAATTAAAACAATTTAATTAATTAATTATTGCAGGAAAAATTTAATTATTATAAATATAAAAAAAAATTTCATTAATTATAATTTTTTAATTTGTAAAATGAGTATTTCGAGGAGAATATTTATATGAATTCAATGAAAATTTATCGAAAAACATTTCAAAATCAAATAAATTTTTTTCTATTTTTTTTTCTATTTCATTTATAAAACAATAAATTATCAAATTTTTTTTTTTTGCTTTATTGCAATCAATAATGTATTTATTTACCTATTTTTTTATTTATTCATTTATATTTTTTATTTACTTACTTTTTCTGTTAATGATTTTCTATTTACTTATTTTTTATTTTTTATCTATTATTTATTTAGTTTATTTTTTTTCATTTATTTGTATATTCTTTTTTCCAATTTGCATTGAAGGTTTTATGTTTTTGTGACTCTAACCTTGACTATTGTTCGTATTTGAAGAATAATCTATTTTATTGATTGAAACTTTTCCCATTTTTTACCATGTTCAAGGAAATAATTTGTTTTTTTACATTGTGCATTGTCGTCAAAAAAAAAAAAAAAACAAGAATATATTTGTGTAATCAAATGAATTTTCTTGTTACTTAGAAAATTATAAAGAATAAGATATTTTTTTTCCTTGATTTTTTTAATAACATTTCCGATTAGTGTTTTTCTTTAATTAGCAATCATTTTTTGTAATGAATTACATTTATAAATTTTTTAGTTTCAAAAATAAATTTAGGTACCTGTAATTTAATTGAATTTAAAGTGAAATTAAATTTAAAATTAAATTCGAGGTTAAATTGATTTCGAAATTTAACTGAATTTGAAATTAAATGAAATTCAAAATTAAGTGAAATTCGAAATTTAATTAAATTTATAGCAAAATTTAATTGAATTCGAAATTAAATTAAATTTAAAGCCAAATACAATTAAATTCAAAATTAATTTAAGTTCGAAATTAAATTAAATTTAAAGCAAAATTAAATGTAATTGTAAATTAAAAATTGCAAATAGAAATTATTGTAAAATATTTAAAATATTATTTAAAATAATTATATTTTACGCTAAATTGCAAATTTTGTTTTCTCAATGATATTATTTATCTTTGAGCATAAAATTACAGTTATTTTTAAAATATTTTATCAATGTTTGTAAATTATAAATAATTCTGTAGGCTGTGAATAATGATAAAATCTCGTTATCTTTTTTTATAAAAACTCGACTCTGTAATGTATAATTAATTATTACACAAGTACAACTAGTTTCTATTCAATTACATTTGAAGGCTGAATCGGCATAGTTTGCAGGAATACCAAGAATGCTAATACTTTTCAATGACCTATAACAATACTATATTTAGAAATATTGTAAAATCATAAGAATAACCAAGTAAATTTTTATTTAAATTTTATTTACAAATAATTAGAATAACACAAGTTGTCAACGTGGGAAATATTTTTAATTAGAAATTAGAATATTCTCTATTTAAAAACATGTTCAAAATTTTAATAGGCAAATAATTTTTTTCCCTTTTAATATTTATTTCATTTAGGAAATATTTATTTAATTTTTGAATTAGATTTTAATTTTAATAAATTTATTTATTTAATTATTTATCTAAATTATTTATTTTATTTTTGAATTAAATTTTAATTTCAATAATTTAAAATTAATAATTCTTCTTTTTAATACTTATTTCATTTAATATTTATTTAATTTTCGAATTTAATTTCAATTTTAATAATTTAAAATTAATAAATCCAAATAAATAAAGAAATATTGTATTTTTTATTCTTTTTATTTCGAGTATTTTGTTATTATAAAAGTTCAACGACAGTGCGCTTTCTTAAACAATCGATATCTTCAAAGTAGTTTCACCCTTTTCTGCATATAAATATAAACTCTGGTATAGAACTCGAAAATAATCGATAGTAAATTTTCGAAAAAAGCAAATGAATGAAGAAAGAAATTAAATAATTTTTTAATAAATTAAATTTCCTTGAAAACAATTTTTTTGTATTCAATTTATATTTTGTTTCGTACTATTTATTCCCTTAATTTCCAAACTAAAATTATGGACAAAAAAAAATTAAAATTTATTAAAATTTTTTTCCACCGTTTTTATAAATATTTTTTTTTTATCATTTTAATTGGTCTGTTTATATTCTTGTAGATATTTAATATTCTCCTTGTAATAATAATCTATATTTTTACTCGATTGATAAAAATACAGTAAAGCACTCAAGTTTTCTTTTCAAAATATTGTTTTTATTTATAACATTTGTAGTTGAATTGCTTATTTATAACTTGTTATACTTTAATTTATTTCTTATATACTTTATTTTAGAAGAAATAAATAAAAAATAATTCCAAAAAAATTAAAATGCTTGAATGTAATAATTTTTTAATAAACAAATTCTTTTTATGAATAAATGTAATTTAAATGTAATCAAATGTAATTGTATGTTTTTCACTGCTTCTGTTTCGGTAAAAAAAATTAAAATGAGTTACTCGTTTTATTATAAAATTATAATTATTTGTATTGTATTAATTTTTGTTTAGAAAAATGTTTTATTGAACTACTTAAATATTTCTTTAAACAATTTTTTTTTATTAAACTAGTGAAAATTATTTTACTAACCTTAGAAGGTATAACAGGTGTCACTCGAGGAAGTTGAGCGGTAGAAATTCAAAATGAAACTGAATGGGTTTGACTCAACTGCTTCTCTATAAAGGCCGGTTACGGTTTCGTAATCACTCAATGACGATTACTCATATAAGGGCGTTAAAGTATCATTAGCTAATCATTAGAAAATCCGTAACTTTTCAAATAATTTTATTTTATTTTTTTAAAATGTAAATGTAAATTTTTAATCTGTTTAAAAATTTCCACTTTAGGAACTAAAGAAAAATTTATTTTATTAATTCCAGGATACCTACAATGACAAAGCAGAAAAAATGTAAAATAAAATTTTAAATTTAAGTTAAATAAAAAAATAAACAATTTTTGCTTATTTTTACATTTTCTGATAAAAGAAAATCCATTAATAAATAGTAACAATGTTAAATATATAAATGATGAAACTGATAGTAATTATACATGATATAAATTATACCATGAGAAATATTTCACATTTCAGTGTTTTTCTTTTTCTGTCAAGTCAACATGACGAAGCATTTTTTCGTCTCCAAATAATATAAGGAAACATTTTTTTTTAATAACACTGTTATAAATTATTTTTTTCAAGAAAGAGACAATTTTTTCCTTACAGTTGCGTTAAAAAGTTTATTTCTTATTTAATTTTTCACAAAATTGAAGAATTTGCAAAATTTCCAAAAAGTATATTTTCAATAAATAAATAAACCTAAAAATATAATTAATTATTAATTTAATATCTTGAGAATGATATTTAAAATATTAGAGAAATTGTATAATTTTTTTAACCCAACTATCATTCTCAAAACTTTATCTCAATCTTGATGGACAATCGATCATTATTTTTAAATGTAGAAATATCGATTATTTTAAAAACTTTGTATTTTAACAAAAAAGTAAAATTTATTTCAATTCAGTTCGTAAACCAACTGCGTTGACTTGAATTCTTATAAAATAACTGTTTTGAATAAAATTGTAAAAAAAATTAAGAAATAAATAAATAGAAAAAAATTAAGAAATCAACTTTTTAGTGTAACTAAAAGTTTCTAAAAAATGATCTGATTATATATAGAGAATGTTCTAATTTATTTTCACAGTGATAATATACTTTCTCAATAATTTTTGAACTCCATGTTTGATTAGTAATTTATTTTTACTGCGTAATAATAATTTTTCACTAATATTTTTAATGAAAATTAATTTACTAATATAATTAATAATTATTAATTCAGTGTAATTAATTGAAGGTGGTTGATGAAAAATTGGTGGATCATCTTTAGCACAACTGAAATATTGCAGAAGTTCCATAATAAAATTTTTAAGTTAACTAACATAAGCATAATCTTGATGAACTCTCGTAATTATTTTGAAAAATAAAGAAATATTGATTTTTTAGAAACTCTACATGTTTCAGTAAAAAATAAACTTTAGTTCAATTTAGTTAGCAAACCGACTATTTTTACAAAAAAAATTTTTAGAACAAAAGTGAAAAAAGTCTACTAAGAAATAAAGTTTTTAGTGGAAATTAAAATTATTATACTTGATTAGTGAATGTACTAATTTATTTTGACTATTACACTGAAAAAAATGTATTTGATTCAAATAACCGATTTCTTGTCTATTATCAAATAAATATTTACTTGAATCAAATAATTTTTATTCAAATCGATTAAATTGTATTTGCTTTAAATACTGAATTTATTGGTTCAAATACAATTTATTTGATTAAAATTAAAATTATTTGACTCAAATAAATATATACACATAAATCAGATAAATATTTTCTTGTATCAAATAATTTTTCAATTATATATTTATTGGATAATAAATAAGTATGATTACTTGATATTTGAATCAAATATATTTTTTTTCAGTGTCTGTTAATTATTTTGCACTACTTTTGACTCTGTGAAAATTAATTTATTAATATAATTAACAATTCCTAATTTAATATAATTAATCAGGGAGAAAAAAATCTTTAGCACATAATATGAAATATTTACCGAAATTTTAAAATACATTTTTTCAAATATTACAAGTATTTAATATAACTAACTTTTTAACCTTCAGCTTAATCTTGATCGACAATTATCCACGAGTAGTTTTTTTTAATATAAAGGAATATTGATTTTTTAAAAACTCAATGTTTCAGCAAAAAAAAAAAATTATTTCAATTTAGTACGCAAACCAACTAAGTTCACTTGAATTTTTACAAATTAACTATTTTCAAGAAAGTTTCAAAAAAATTTACTAAGAAATAAATTTTTAGTTTAATTAAAAGCAAAAAATTTATAATTTAAAAATTTCAAAACTTTTGTGAACTAAAAACAACAAATTTGTTTAGAAACTGTTCAATTTTATATTCATTATAATAATTTTCAACTAATTTTAATTCTGATAATTAATTTATTCATTTAATTAATAATTATTAAATAAATATATAATTAATTCAATATGATAAATTCATAATTTACTGGATTTCTAATAGTTTGAAACTTTAATTTAATTTATTGTATTGAATTATATTGAAAAAATTTGAAAAGATTTAAAATTAAGAAAAAAAAATAGTGAGACAAATGACAAAAAATGCGACTCAGCGGAATATTTTTATGTCTTCGGATTATAACTAATGTGGAAATAATAGCAACGCATACAGAATGGTTTCAAAGTTTGATCAATTATATTCAAGTTGGTTCAAGAAATTACCAGGTATTTATAATAACCGACAATGATAAGCAAGATTTGAGAAGAGAATTTGTTTTCAAAATTCCAACAATTTTGCCAACTCGAATGGTGAATTTTGATTGCGTACAAAATACGGAATCAAATTGCTTGAAAAATCACCAATTTCTGGAAGATTTTCGACGAACAAATTTGTTTATCATCGTTCCATCGGCAAATGCATCGGAAACGGTAAACAAGACAACCGTTGCAATTGATTTTTTGATCCGTTTATCGAAAGGTCGAACACGACCAAAATGTCTGCTTATTCTACCAATGAAGGAAAACCAGTTTTCGTACAAGAAATTGTTACGCAATCTCTGGACTCAACGAGTATTGGATGCCACGATTCTTGAATTTGAACAAAAATCATCTGCAGGCAACAATTTAAGCAAAAGAATGAATCAGAGATTCTTGAGGATCATTCAGTATAATCCGTTTCTAGACAGAAAGAATTTTTACAATCGAAAACTGTCGCCAAAAATCGAATGGTTTCCAAACAAACTTGAAAATTTGCATCAATGGTATTTGAAGACAAGTTTGTTAAATATGATTCCCTTGGCGAATGTGACGCGCAATAGTTCTGGTCACATCATCCAAATGACGGGCACTGATGCTAATTTGTTGTATTTCATGGCAAAAGAAATGAATTTTTCTTTAAAAATGGTTCCACACAATTATACGGAGTTGGGAAGCTTTCGTCGTTACGGTAATCAAACTGACGGATTAACAAGAATGCTGGAAAACAATACACTGAATCTTCTGGCGAATACACTGTTTGGAACAGAAAGTGTTCATCGTACTTGGGCTGAAATTAGTCGAGGAATTGAATACACAACGATTCAAGCTGTTGTGCCGATTCAATATGAACAAATTTCACACACGATTATCACTGGAAAAATGTTGACAACAACTGGAATTTGTGCAGTTATGATTATTTCCTTGCTCATCTTGGCTGGAATACTAAAATTGGAGAAAACTGTCTGGAAGCCTCTTGCATTGTTCCAAATACTTTTTGGATTCGCCGTTGTGAACGAGCCAAAACAAAATGCTGATAGAATCATTTTTGCCACGATTTTATTTACGTCGATGATTTTGGCAATGAACATCTATGAGGTATTTACCGATCTTGGCGTGAATAATGAAATTGAAATCGAAGTTAACACTCTCGATGATTTGCTTAAATCGGGATTAAAATCAAAAATCTCCGCTGATCTGAAGAAGGTTATTATAAATAACAGTATCAATCAATCTACACTTAATGCAATATTAAGAAAATCTGAAGGAATTCCATTCAATAGACTTGACGATTGTCTTGACGAATTGGTGAATCAGAGAAATGTTTGTTGCATTCTAGAAGCACCGATGATTGAGTATGCTTTTGAAAAATACAGACACAAATCGGGTGAGGAAATTATGAAAATTGTACCAGAAATTCTTCGGCATTCGTGGTACTATTGGTATTTTGAAAAAGGATCTCCATTTATGCCGGAATTCAATCGTCTGTTTCTTCGATTACGAGAAAATGGAATTCAAAGCAAATTGAAGGAGAAGCCGAAGCATTTGTTAGTGGGCACTAACGATCAAATGGAGAATGGAGATACTCAAAAAATTTGCGATGCAGTCAGATTTTTTTTCAAAATCTTTCTTATTGTTGATGGTTTGATAATTGTCGTCTTTTTTCTCGAGCGCTTCATTCCACGATGTAATTTCTTCAATTGAAAAAAGAAAGACTTCTTAATCTTTTCACTGATTTTCTTAATCCGGGTTGCTACAAAAATTTAAATTTTGTTTCTCCCTAATTTCCAAACATAATTTTGACTTTTTCCCTAACCCTAAAGAATATTCTGTTTCACTCTCAAAATGATTATGTACATACTCAAAAAATTGTTCTATTACTTTTAATTGCGAACTTCTTTAATTGTACAATTATTCGAAAACATCAATAACTTCATTTTTCATCAAGTTGAAGTCCACAACGTTGATCAACGAAAGAAATTGTTCACTTAGTAAATTAATTAAAAATGACGCAGCAATATTGACACAAAAATATTTAGAAAAAAAAGATTGACATTTATATTTTGATAATAATTATTTTACAATTAAATATTAATTTAAAAATAATACTTGAATTAATTAAATAAATTTGTTTCGTTTATAAACGTTGCGTGGACTTCAACTTCGTCATTTTTCGATAAATATTTAATCATTATTATTTTTCCATAGGAATTAAGATTTTCAAAAATTCCAAATTCAAGCCTTTTGAAATTCAATAAGCTATAAGAATATTGTTATAAAACATGAAGATATCGATTTCTTCATGTTTTATAATAATTAAAGATGATCGAGTGATAAATATATTATTT